CAATTTTATTCTTTAAAAAAACATTAGCTTGCTCTATTGTAATTGTAATACTAAGAAAAAAAAAATCGGAATTTTGATCTTAGTCGTGATTTTTGAAGCGTCTCATTTCACACAATGTATTTAATATTATTTATGTTCATTTGAGGTACCGATTACAATAATTTTCTTTTTGAAAACTTTTAATCACTATTTCAATKTATGTAAAATATTATGTTTTTCGAATTCATACAATTAATTTTAAATCGATACACCAATATATATGGGAAATATGTCATTATGTATAAYGCTCATTGTAATATCATGTGAGAATTATTATTTATTATAATAATAAATAAATAAACAGATTGTCAAGTTGATATTTTACTGTGCCATATTTATGTACCTATATCGTTGGAATTAATGTGAAAATAAAATACAAAATAAAGAATTCGAGTTAAAATAGTGTGTCAAACGTCAAGTCGAGTAGGTGTACCCATTTGATGGTTTCTTAACAGTAAACTTAATAAAGAATTCATTTTTCGTGTTAAATATATAGGTGTTATAGGTCAGTATTCCTATTATATTAAACACTTTCTCACATACACACATACTATGTCATGATGCATACATACCTACATAATATGTACAAATACATAGTAGGTACAAGCACGAAATAAGTGAAAATAACAAAATTAAATATGACTAAGTCTCAATTAAACTGGACACCTCTGACTAAATGCCACTTGTTAAAACGTAGCTATGAATGTGGTTATATATGTATATAATTTTTTTTTTTTTTATCAAGTTTATTAAGGCTTCAACACAACACGTTTTTAATCAACATTTGATTATATATATTATTATTTGTTATATCGTTATATCATTATACATATTAGATGCAAAAATAAAAAAATAAAGATCGTGACACAAAAATCTATTATCGAAGTCTGTACATTATATACATATAGATCTTTCAAATATGTTTTGCCACAATAATAAGTAATTATAAAATGTCGGTTTATTGGCCTATCACATTGTTTTGGAGGATATTCGGTGTGTTCCCAAAAAGCATACAAGGTAGTCGCCGAAACATGAACACGTCACTACCAACGCTGTCCACCGTGTTACTGTTGGTGTTGAGTTTGTACGTACTGTTTGCCGCGCCGCAGATCGTGTGCGAGATCGGCGAGAAGTGCACCAGCGACTCGGTAAGGATCCTAAAACAGATTTTTCCAACCATAGCGAACGTGACGTCAATACTGTCGAGGATTGCACTATCGTACTCGGTAATGGTGGGATTCGACAAGTACATGAAGACGATGGAGTGCTACGAAACGTATTCACCAACGACGGTRGCCGAAGCAGGCCTGTACAGGATGTTCATGACCATTGCCGTGTGCACGTGCCTGCTGTTGGTCATACCGGTCAACGTGTTACGGTTGTTGATCGTTTGGATGGACGGCTCTAGCCCTAGGCTGGCGATCGTATTCCTCGCGTCCACCTACGTCCAGAACGTGGCCATGTGCTGTTCGGAGACGCAATTCGTCGAACAGTGTTTAATGTTGTACTGCAAGCTGAAGAATGTTAACGATGACGTCGCTATGCTAGGTGGATCCGCGGGGTTGGCACGTTTTTCGAGACACATGCGTGTGACCGTTTCAGCAACTCTCCATACACCTGACTCATCTGAAACTTCTATCACGCCACCCGTTGCTGCAGCTGGTGTAGCTTCAGCAGTCGCGGTCGACGCGATACAGGACACATCAGATAACGTTATGTCGGCGGCCTTCGCAGTTGAGACCCTGCGGATCAGACACTGGCTGCTGCGCCAAGCTGTCGGTAGTCTGAATCACCTGTTTGGCGTACAGCTGGGCATGTCAGTGTGTGCTCTGTGCGTGATGTCGTTTTTCGACATATATTACGAGACGTTTCACGTAATGGGCAAATACCTCATGTCCGACATCATCATATACTCCTGGATGCTGCACTACGCAGTGCGGTACCTGGGCATCATCCTGATTTCACATTACACTACGAAGCAGGTGGGTACAACCTGTTCACGTATATTATTTGTATTAATCG